TCATGCAAACATATGTCACATATATGTGTGTATGTGGGTTTGTCTGCAAGTGTGTGTTTCTCTCATATCAATATTACAGATATTATCAGATTTGGTGTGATGTGAGGTAAAGGAGACCTGGAGAGGGTAGAGGAAGAAGAGAGGATGAGAATAAGAGACAGACATATAGAAAGGGGATTTAAGTGATGGATAGGCACAGACTGAAGGATAAAAGAGGATGAAGACAGATATAGGCTGAGGAAAAGTCTATAAATGATAAAGAGAGAAAGAGGGTTGAAGAAAGAGGGAATAGATGCATTTTAAAGAGGGAGACAAGTGAAGGAGAGGGAGATAAGAGCATAAGAGAGGAAGGGAGACAGGGAGAAAAGGAGGATAGCGTGGCATTTGGCTCACCGCCTGTGTTTTCTCATATGCAATGCTGAATAATGATTTGGCCTACAAAAGATTGGCACTCTGCAGAAGGATGAGGGCAAGGAGATGAGAATATAGGAAGAGAAAGGAAGGAAAGGAAGGGAGAAATTACATGAAAAGAGAGACTGAATAAGTGGAGGACAGAAGGAGAAGTGGTAAAGAAAGAGGTATGCGGTGGAAAAGAAGGTGGGGCAGGGGAAGGCGCAGGAGCAGACGAAAGATGATAGATGGGGTCCGTTGGGCAGTGGTGAGGGTGCGGGAGGGGTGAGGAAGGGTGAGATAAATGGAGGGGAGAGGAGAGGGAGAGAGCCAGGAGGAAAGAGGAGAGGAGAGAGGAGGTAGCTGTCAGGATGATTTGAGCCTGCCCTCAACGGACCCTGACGCTGCACTTTTCCCTAAGCAGCTGTGTCTCTCTCTCTCTGTGTGTGTGTGTCTGTGTGTGTGTGTGTGTGTGTGTGTGTGTGTGTGTGTGTGTGTGTGTGTGTGTGTGTGTGTTCTTTCCAAACACTCCAAATAGAGTTCTTGCTTTCAGAGACAGAGCAGTGCAGTGAGCTAAGAGGAAAATGTGAAGTAGACAACCAACCACTGCCTCAAAAGGCTACATACTGTACACTTTAAAAAATGTTTTTTTTAGCAGCTCTTTGACCTTTACTATCTTGGTAGCTGCCACATGGAAAATGTAATATCACCGTCTGTCAGATGAGTTTTCATCATAAATATTCATCATTTAAGAGCGGTGGTTTCCTCTATTCTAGGAAGACAAATATAAAGTAAATTAAGTAGCTTTTCTCTCCAGTACATTTGTGAAAAACTCAAAGAGAAAAGGAATATGTCTAGAGATACTGTCAGAGAGCTGGACTTGTTGCTGTGTAGAGACTTGGGTTTAAAAATTGTATTTCTTACTGTCGCTTGAAGGGTTAAAGCAATAGTTTGGCATTTTGTAAATGTATGCTTAGTTGCTTTCTTCCCGAGAGTTAGAAGAGAAGATCGGTACCACTGTCATGTCTGCACAGTAATTATGAAGGTAGAGCCAGCAGCAGTTAACTTAGCTTAGCTCGGTGGGTGGAAACAGGGAAACAGCTAGGCTTGCTCTGTCCAAATGTAATACAATTCACCTTCACCTCACAGAGTTACTCACCACAGCTCACAGAGTTATGTGTTATGTGTGAGTATTTATTTGTGACTTAAAAGAGTCCTGTTGTCACCATGAGGCTGCCTTTAAGCTCATCTAAGCTAACTGTAGCTTTATATTTAATGTACAGGCATCATTCTTATCTAACTCTTGGCAAGAAAGCAAATAAGTATATTTCCCAAAATGTCAAACTGTTCCTTCAAGTTTTCCTTCAAGTTGCTGATTAAACTTAGAATGATAATTTGAAAGTGATGGTTAAAAAGTGTTGTGACATTAACTAAAAAACTGTAAACAGTATGAGCACAATGAAGTTGGAGGTGTGTTAATTTAAAATCATGCCAAACATAAGGTTTTATCAGATTAAATACAGTTAACATTTCTGCTTTAGCAGTTAAACACCTTATAAGGTTCATCAACTGTGCCTGCAAATGAAGGTGCACGCACAAAACCGATTATGGTTGTAAAATGATGCACTGCATGCACATGGTGATGGAGTAATTTGGTACCATGGTGCCTGTCATGTGATGGAAATGGGAAGTCATGGTGAGTCATGACTGGCCATGGATATACTGGGCCAGAAGCTTCCTGTCAGTCTTCCTTCTCATCTGTCTCACTCCCTGCAGCTGTCTCCCTGCACTTAAATTGCTACGGTATATGAATCTTAATGAAAACATCTCTTTCCGTCCGACCACCTCTCCATCGATTTTCCCTGCAGAGCCAGCAGAGTGCTTGACAAAATGTGATGCATTATAGATTACAGATTACCATCTTAAATTGCAATCAGGGCCATAATAGATTAGATTGCTTCAACGTAGTGACACAATAAAACAACCCTTGTCTGACCAGGCCATGCAGATTCATAACAGGGCTGATGGTGCGAGTGTGTGTCTTGATAACGTTTTTTTTTTGCGCGTGAAACAGATGCAACCATATCATTTTTTTTAAGTGATAAAAAGAGAGAGGAACCATATTGCCTGTTCATAAAGCAGTCTTTGTCTACAAACACAGATGAGTCCTTTGTCTTAACAAGATGAGTGTGTGTGTGTGTGTGTGTGTGTGTGTGTGTGTGTGTGTGTGTTCTCCTCTCTAGGATTAACAGCTGTTTTCTGTTTCTCAAAGCTGTGAGCTACTAGCCTGAGAAAAGAAACATATGGATAATGTTCTTATGAACATGTTAAATTAATCTTATCATACGAGAACAAATTGTTAGATATACCTATTAGAGACAGAAAAAGAGGGGTAAATATTTCAAGAAGAGACAACATTAGACAGCCAGGGTCAGGGTTACTGCTGTCAAACACTAGGTGACCACGTATGTCTGCCCCCCGCAGACACACACATACCCTTTGCTTCTTCTCTTTGGCCTCTGTGCCCTCTGAACTTAACAGCTCAATTTCAGCCTACCCCTGCACACACACACAAACACTGACACACACGCCCCAGGCATTGAGCGCCTGTAGACTTAAATAGCTCTGCACTGTAGGACAGTTGTAAATAACAGCCTATTAGACCTGAGATGTTACCACCAACATTGCAAAAATCTCACTATTACTGGCATGGTTTAACAATTACCGTGTCAAAAAATGTAACTTGTCATTACTAGAAGCAAACTGAAACTAAGAAAATGTTTAGACACACACCAAAAGTCTACAGAAACACTGTATGCATACACTATGATAAATAAATCATAGCCAGTTGTTTCTAGCAGTTCAACAGATTTTCTCCTCCTGGGAAACTATTGGACTGTAAATGGATGTAAGAAATTCAAAGAGAAAGAGGAAAGAAAGGGGGGGGCATAGGGGTAGAGAGAAAAAGAGAGAGAGAGCATTGAATGCATCAAACTGGTTCGAGGATAAGAGTAAAACTGAAAGATGACGAGGACAGGGAGACAGACAGAGAAGCATGTTTTTCATTTCCACAGCACAGTGCAAAAGTAAAGCAAAACAGCGCAGAGCACAGCACGCCTTCAACCTTTCAGCCTTTCAACAGACAGCCAGCCAGTGAAATATTGATGCTTCAATTCCAACAAAGAAATGTCTGAATGATTTTGGTACATCTGAGTGGGGAAATTCACCTATCTATAATTGATACAGCTGAAATGTTAATAACTGGATAGGAAAGCACCGGAACAGAGACAGAACGAGAACAGGAGGGACGGGTGAAGTGTAAGTGTGTGTGCTTGTGTGTGTGGTTTTTCATTTGTCTGCCTGTATCAGTGGGCTTGTATCTGTGCCCATTAGATTCCTGAGAGCCAGTGGTCTCTTCTCTACTACTGTTTGCCTAGGATGGATTCATACCTGACATGATGGTCCCACAAACATGAGGGAAGGCCACTAGTTTCATTTACAAAAAGGCAAATAACAGAGGATTTTACAAGTAATCTGATGATCTTTTAGGTAAAAACATCAGATTAATAGAAGCCTCAGTGTTTTTTACCGTCATTACACATTAGCTTCTGCACTACTTACAGAGTAAGTTTGTCATCCAATTGTTTTTTGATAAACCCTTTTAGTTGGTTTTTATTATATAAATATTGAACTTGTTATCATATTGCAGTATTGTAAGTGTAATTGCCATTTTATGAGCTGCAGCTCCAATTGCAACCGATCTCTTTTTTGATAGCCTGCCCTAAAATTTCTCTCAATTTTTACAACGTGTTAAGTCTTCTGACTTTTTCACAGCGCTTGTGCTGGATCAGAAACATTGCAGATGCTGGCCCTAAAATCTCAGACAAAGTGTCCCAGAGATTTTGGACTTTAAATTGAGCTGTTCCAAAACAGCATGACTTCCCTTAACTTAAATTCTGGGAAGAATTAGCTGATTCTCATTGATGTTTAATTTTTTGCTCCATGCCCCTTCTTATCCAATTTGTTGTGCAGTTATCTCTTGTTCAATTCTTAATGTTTAATATTTATATGTTTTATATAATTGATTATTGGTTATTTATTGGTTATTCAGAGTAAATCCGTGTTCGCGTTAACCAGTCTGATTTCCCAGCATGCTGTTCTGTCTGCCTTTAGGAGTGCTGTTTATCTATTTTATGCAGCAGAACTGTCTGCCTTTATTTCAGTCTCACTGTGCAACCAAAGCCAAACCGCCAAAAACAATGATGGACACCAAATCCTCTAATCTGTGTTAATGCTTCCTGAGTGTGAAAACCAGCCTGGAACAGTAAATGTGTTGTAATTAGACTTTGATAATTAGAGACAAGGGACAGAGAGAGGCCCCAGTGTGATTATTATGGGATAGCTAAAGCCAGAGAAACAGGAGGAGAGTGGGCTGAAGTTCACCAAATACCCAGAAACTCTCACACAGAGACAGGCTGGTGGAGACAGAAACTCAAAGTCAAAACTCTCAATTCCCATCCATCCTTAGTCACAATCCTCTCAAGCAGTCTAAATCTTCACATCATTTAATTCACTCTTTTTAACTCCCATAACATCCATCCTGTGTTTACCTGCAGTCCAGTTTCTCTATCTCAAAGTGCGGGTTGAAGTTGAGAACGATGCGCTGTGAAGGCTCTGGGGCTGTGATGACCCAGCGACAGTTCTGGTGGGGTGGGTACTCCAGTGGGTAGCCGGGAGTGGTGATGTATCCGGCATCGCTGGCATCTAAAAAGCCACCGCATGGCTCAGACGCTAGATGGGGAAAGAGAGATAAAAAGTTAAATCATCTTTTATACAAGTTAAGAAAGTCAAATGTATGCAGAAACATGTTCCGTGGTTTCGGTCCATTATATCGTCTTGTGTAATATATGGAAATCCTCCTATACAAGTACTGAAAGTGTTTAACTTTTTCCATAGGTTAATACACAAGTTCCCACATTGGAATAAGGTCACTGATTAAAAGACAGGGAACATTTTATTGCAAAAAGAGACCATAGAGTAAGACTGATTGGATAAACTCCCAATACCAATATGTAACCATAATAACTTCCCTCACAGCAACAGATATAAGTCTAGAGTATCATAAGGGTCGATGTTGTTTGCTTATCATGACTGACCAGGCGGATGTCAACGTTCATGCTTTCACACTGGGAAAAAGAAGCAAAATGGATAAAAAGCAGATAAGAGGTGTGTTTGCAGAGACAGGATATGAGAAACAAAGAAGTGTGTGTCTGCGTATGTGTCTATGTGGATGTGGTATCAAAGGTCAACTCAGCATCATGACATACAAAGACTCCATTCTGACCCATTCTGACTAATACACACACACACACACACACACACACACACACACACACACACACACACACACACTAACACACACACACAGTGAACAAGACCTCCAGATGCCACAGTTACTGTCACAGAGCGGATCCACTTGTCGGCAGTCATACGTCTGTATTTTGTCATACACAATGCCACTCATTCAGAGCCGCAGATGTACACTGACATTGATGGGTAACTCATATATATCTGTGACACCCAACGACATAACACACACAACTCTACTGTATTACATCTATGGCATCTATTGTACACCAGGCTGGATGTGCTTCTTGATGGATTGTCCAGACTTTCTCCATGAACTGAACTTCTTCATTGTTTAAGAGCTGCGAAACTTAAGTTAAACCATCATGGTGGATACACTGAGTACCATCTTTGTTAAGTCCAAGCACTTCCAATACAATGGAACCGTATGAGCCACAATCTGCCAGAAGTGACTCAAGAACTGGGGTTGTTAGTTTGCTCCTTTAACATCCCCAAAATAACACTCCACCAATTTGATATAATATACGTAATAATAAATGTCTTTCAGTGTCTGCAGACAAAAGACTGTGGCAACTTAAATGTAGTCTTAGTGAAGGCAGAAAATGAAGAAGTACTTTATCTGAGTAATTATTTAGCCACAAGACTGTGATTACACTGTACATTTGGACCAAAGCAGATGCATTTTCAACAAATATTTTGGGTAGAATGGTGGCCACAGTGGACCAGGTTGTCCTAATAAAAACAGCATCTGTGAATGTCGGCTGCTTGATGGGAAGTATTTGGCTGGTAAGCAACCCCTTTGATAATTTCCTGTTTATGAAAGAAAACAAACTCACAATCAAGCTTCTGACCGTCTATATTATTGTTTCAATCAGAGCTAAATGCGCCTCAAGAAACCTACGTCATAAAGAGCAAAAATAAAACTGTGTGAAGACATTGTGTAACTTCTTGGTCTGTGCCACCGTCTAGTCTTCTTCGCTATGACGTTTTATTTATCGCCACTGTGCTGAGTAGGGTGACATAGCCAAGTCAAACTACTCAGCAGAATACAGCATATCTTAACGCTTTAAATAGACTGGCTACTGTAAACCTACTCTGAGAAGAGTCACACATGCAAACATTCACACACACGCACAGCATAAACACTTTATCTAACACCAGCTTCTAAATAAATCCAAATAGGAAGGTAAAATAAACTTGCAGAATCTAAAATTTTTTTATCGTGCCTACAAATATATATGCACATGGGTTGATAAATATACACTCAAGAGTCAGCAATAGAAGATGAAAGTGGAGGTCAGATCTCTGCACAAAGTGATTGACACTTTGGCATCTATATCTGGTGTCTACCTCACACTGTCTGCAAACAATTAGTGATCACCCCTGTGCTTCTCTCTCAATCTCTCTGCCTCTGAATGTCTCTCCTTCCTCCGTCATGCTGTGAAACTAGTCCTGTCTATCTCCTCCTATCTGTTTCCAATCTCCCTGGTGACATACAGTAATACAGGAGTGGAGTTACAAGGCCTATGTAACCCGGCCAGACGCATTTCATCTCAGCACCACCTGGATTAGTGTTTAACCACTCTGGAATCTCACAGCACCATCAGCCAAACACCACTTTTAGCACAGCGCTTAGCTAACTGTCTCTTATGAAAAATCTGGGTTATGCAGAGGCGATGCAAGGGGAAAACATCTAGGGTTGTTAGAGAAATGAAACAGATTAATAATCTATTGCTTGGGACTCATAACGCAGTTGTTGTTGCGATATCTTAAAATGAGAAGATGTCTTTTCATTAGATTCAGTCCCTGGATGAGACACAGTGAAGGTTTACTCTTTCTTTTATAGAGGACTACTTTACTCTTAATGTTATCATCTTCTCAACCAACCAGTGGATACACAGAGGGCTAGACACAATAATATGAACGTGCAATCAAAAAGCAAATCCAGGACAATAAAACATACTTTTGTGAAGTTTATGTCTGTTTTTGTTTATGAAGACTATGTCAGATTTATACATTTATCTAGATTATTATTATATTTTCTGACGAAAAAAATGTGATGATGTGTTACTCAGAGTGACTACTCTCTCCTCTCCTCTCTTCACCTCTGGCATGTAGCCGATAAAGACAGCGCCTCCAAGTGTCTGATTAATACAGCTGGTGTGATGGAGAGGCAGACATATTGTGTCTGCTCTACTTTAAGGGTTTATCAATCTCCGCACACACACGCACACACTCACACACACACACACACACACAACGTCGTTCAACGATTATCACTTCCAAACAGAGCAGGAAGTGACACACATTGAGATGATGAGTGCATGTGTGACATCCCATCCTGTTTGCGTGAAGTTCATATAGTTTGTTTTTGGTTCATGCACGTACACACACATTAAAAGCATGCTGAGGCTGAGCTTGTCAGTCATTATAATGTAGAGTTCCTCCAGTAACAGATCGGTTTCTTTTAGGGAGGGACAACTAACTGCTATCTTTCTGTGTATTTACCAGGAAACCGCATAAACACAGCTTCCAAAAAGTAAATCTATAGCATTGCTAATTTGTATTCAACACTACAGCACCCCTGACCTGCATGCTGGGAAGAAAGTGTAATGTCTGTGTGTCAGAACAGAGGAGATGCTGAGTTGGGGAAAAGCCTGAATTCATGTCAAGAATTATCAAACAGGTAAAAGTGAGAGAGAGAGAGAGAAAGAGAAAGAGAGAGAGAGAGAGAGAGAGAGAGAGAGAGAGAGAGAGAGAGAGAGAGAGAGGGGAGGGGGGGGGGGACGGAGGAGAAAAAAGGCGAAGAAGAGACTATCAAGATTACTATTGTGTGCTGAGAGGAAGAATCTTTGTTTTACAGATTCCACTGTGTTGCCAGATTTCAGCTAACTGCTGATCAGTACAGATGTTATCATAACCGCTGATGAAATCATGGCCAGACCTACAGAAATAAGATCAAAAGCGAAATAAACCAAAATCGTCACAGGAGACGCAAACATTTCCTCCTCTTGACCACAGACTTCACACAAAACTGTTTCACTCTCAACCACATGAGTGTCCGTGATCTTCAGGGAGAAGTTGTATTTAGACCACATATTCACAACAAATGCACAAACCGCTGAACATCACTTATTCCAATCTGGCTTAGACATCGGTGAATCCCCCCCCCCCCACACACACACAGAATAAGTAGCAGTAAACGGTGCTAAGCAGTCAAGCAGGGATATAAGACAGGTCACTGCATTATTTATGGCTCTCTGCCACGTTTAGTATTGCATCCTGATAACACCTATTCAGCAACTTTTCCCCACATACCTCAACACACACACACACACACACACACACACACACACACACACACACACACACACACACACACACAGATGCACCAATACAGAAATGTAATAAAACGTGTTCGGAAATGCATGCACAGCAACATAGGGCACACAAACTATTGCACAAAGTCCAAAATACAAACAAAAGCACACACGCTTCTACATGGAGCTGCTTTTCAACTAGATCTAGATCCTTGTTTGTTGGCCCCAAATGCAAATTTTCTGACCTTGTTTCTAAGCTTTCTTACAGATTCATTTTCCCTCTGAGCGGGGAGTCTGATTTGACTCTAAAGAGACACTTTTCAGGCTGTCGCAATCAATTTGCTAGTTTACGAGAACTTTGCTAATGTGATGGACCATAGTCCGGGTTCAATTCCATTGGCCAGAGTGCATAATGAAAGCATTAGTGAATTAGTTGTTTGTTTATGAAAGTGTGTTTCACCCAACTAACCAGAGAGTTTGTTAAGAGCAAAGCTTTTGGCAGATCAACTTATTATCCACCAACACTGGCCCCAATACACAAATCACTGCAGTGAGTCTCACATTCTAATTTTTGTGACCTTGTTGGAAACAGGTCAATGGAATTTATCAATCAATATACTTTGACCATCTGCATCAAAACTGGAGGGAAAAACGCTAATTTTCTCATTGATTTCTATGTATTTTCTTTTACAGTTTACAATGAATTTTCAGTAGAATGACTTGGTTCCAGCATCATGAAGCACTCACAAAACACTTTTTTTCAAGCATTGTTGCCTTAAATGGTAGAAATACAGATACATGTGTAAGAAAAAGCTCTTGTGTGACTCTGGGAATATAAGGAACATTGAAAATAACAGGCTGAAATGTCTCCTTTGGAACCAAACCAAGGCACTTTTAGTCACTGAAACCTGGGAAACCTCAGGAATGGACAGAAAGAGAGAGGAGAGTAAAAGAAAGGGAGAAGGAGGCAGAGCAGCACGAAAAGAAAGAAAGGGAGAGTAATGCCAGAACATCTGTCTCTCATCATCTGAAAAGAGAAAGTCAGCAGCTCAGAAAAGCTCACTGGACAGAAAATACAACACTCGCACTCGCACTCACACACAC